GACTCCCCCATGAAAATCTGGCAAAAGAAAACAAGTAACTTAACCTGCAAAGGTATCCATGGATTTTGGTGTGTATGCTATATCCATGATCAAACCCAAACTCTTCTAGGGTGAGCTGGATACATTTTTGGTAGCCTGCTTCATTATCAGAAGTTTGGTAATAAGCCTTACCAATAGAATAGCACTTCTTTAACATCAGTCACCTCTGGATTAGTTAAGAAGTCAATGACATCATTATGAATGAGAATGAGAATGGGGCATCCTATGGAAGGAGCAGGAGAATTCCTGCTCTACCAAGCAGGAAGTGGAATGGCTTGATGAGGAATTAAAGAGATGGACATCTATCTGGCAGTCACAGGATGCATCCCTGGAGACCTAGCTGTAAAACTTCAGCTGGAGGTCCACATGCAAATGAAAGAGTCTACTTGTGGTAAGACACCTGGCGGGATCCCAGAGCTCCACTTTATAATGGGGTAAATAAAAACTTGAGACTACACAGCAGAAACACCCACCTGAGTTACCAAGTTCCAATCTCAGAAACTCTCCTTCAGAGCCTATTCAATGAGATACTCAACTTCTCTGCATTGCCAGTCAGGGGGAGCATGAGTTTGGGGGAACCAAGGGTTCCTCTGTGCTATGAAGCTCACACATCTGGACTCAGATGTACCTACAAATTATGAAACTCATGCTTGGTTTGAATAACTGAATTCTTTGGTCCTTGGTTTTATGAAAGGCAGTTATTTTCATAATCTTGTCAATGTAGACATCAGAAAATAACTTCAAGCTAGAACTAATGGCACAATGGCAATTTGAATACTGGATGGAAAACTCTACACCCTCTGTACTTCCCAGAATCAACTAAACAAGCTCCAGCATCAGACTAGATGTTGGAACAAAGAGGTGTAAGGTTGAAGCTTAACCCTAGATGTTAGGTCTTCTGAATGACTTGTGTACACATGCCAGTCTCAATGCTAATGGCTGAGAAGGTGACTGGACACTTCCTAGAGATGGACCACATGCTTAGTCTCACAGCCCTGAACTCAAGATCCTATTTCAAGGGTTGATAAGGAGGATCAGTTGGTGATAGCCAGAGTACCACCTACCAAAAAGAATTTAATGTAATTTTTGAGATTTAACTCCATTAGATTCCAAGATACACAAGACACATTGCTGATAACATCTGTGATTTCCATGCCACTGAAAAAGCCTTGAATATACCAGCTTGTCTGGTGTGCATGCTCTGTACCTATAGTATATCCATCCTGCTGAACTCCAGTCTAGTATGGCTTGACATACAATTAATTCCTCACAGAAACACCAAGGACACATGTTAATGATGGAACAAAAACTGACTCCAGATTGTCTAGACAGTAAGACTCTTCTGTAAACTTTGTTAACACCTCTCAGAGAGTGCTGACTTTAGCTACCCTGGACATTGTCAGGTCACCAACAAGGAACCTGGGATCCCCATCAGGGCCAGGAGCAAGAAATGTCATTTGTTTAAAACAAATGATGAGTCAGCAGCCTTCCTTATTACCATCTCTAACCTAGAATAAATTAGTTCAGAAAACCTGTCCTTGGTCCAGTCTTATGGCCAAAGACATTTACCAAGGAATCCACCTGGTACCTGTCACCATCAACTCCATCACTTTCTTCATATTAGCCATGAGCTACTTACAGACTTCAATGAGCCCACCACCATGGCTTACATGGAGGAAACAACCCGTATTATCCATTTATTTATTTATTTATTTATTTATTTATTTATTTATTTATTTTTTGCAACAAGCTTAAGGCTCTGTTCACAACTCCACCAACTGCCACACAGTGAGAATTTATGGAGGGGGGCGTTCTTGAACTACACATGGAGTTTTGAAGGTCAGAAGGATTACTGAACCTAATGGTAAGGCTTATTCCACAAATTCAATACATTTTCAAATCAGATTTCAAATGCAATGACTTCTAGAAAAAAAAATTGACTTGATTTCTTAATAATGTAAGACTGCTAAAAAAAAAATTGGCACCAAACCAGTATGAGATATATTTTTTGAAGGAAGAAATGATATTAATGGAAAAGATTGCCTAAAACGCATGTCCTAATTTACCACAGAAATATAAAAGTTTATATTCTGAAAATATATATACTGTATTAAAGTCTATAAGCATTTCAACCAAAACCCGCAGAAAGAACTCAGCGGCACTTAGCTACAATAACAACAAAAAACACACATGCAAGACAAACCCCCAAAGATGTATCTACAAAGGCAAAATGTAGATTTTTCAAGATTTTACAAAAACCATTTACAGAGAATAAAATAAAATACTTAAGAAATCTCATTTGGAGTCTTAAATACTGTGTATATTAGTGAGGGCATCTTAACTCATATATACAACAGACCTAAATATCTTAATACAGAAACACAGGAGAAAAGCGAACCTTCCTTCTAAATGTTCCCATAGGAAGATTTGAGGATGTTGCTATTTTTGTATTAAAAAAAAAACTTTTATATAAACTAGATTGAAAAGGTGTGTGAATTGGACTAAATTCCAAATTTTTTTTAAAAAACTAAAAACTTCAAAAGAGATTTTTGAAACCAACAGTTAGTAGTGGGAGCTACAATTCAGCATTCAGTGGAGGCTATTTGTAAAAGAGGAATTCAGATATATAATTGCATTGTTCAAAGTCTGCTGTGATTATTTTCCCATCCTCATATTGAACTTCACATGGGCAAATCATCTTTTCATGCTTCTGAGAGGACAATTCCCAATTTGATCTATGCCAAGGAATAAATTTTAATTCATATCTATGCTTCTTTCTCATAGTTATCTCATTTTCAGCATACATGTTTCCCCTCAGATTTTATTTTTAAGCAGGAAAGGGCTACCTAAATAGAAGAATGTCCATATTACAAGGTGGCTTCCATGTGCTGAGGTGGTCTGGTCACTGTAACCATAATTCTTCAAAAGTCCCTTGGGATCAAAGCATCTAACTCCAGCAGTGCCAGAAGTTGCCATCACCAAGATTGTGGCAGATAGGATGAGTCCCAAGTGACTTTCTAGAAGAGACCTTGACTCAAACAGGCATTCTCTAATTCTCACCCATAGCTGTCCTTCCAAATTCAAAAGAACTCTGAGTTGGGCTTTCCAAGACCATCTACAGTTCTTGAAGACTTACTTGGGCCCTAGGAAAGGACATTGTGGGAAAGGAACAAGGAAAGTAAAAGGACAAACAGAAAGACCTCATGGGTGGAGAGAGAACATTAGAGTACAAGATAGAAGATGGAAACCAGCATCCTACTTCAATAAAGCTTTTAGGTAATCTGAACCCAACCACAGGGCTGGTACTTTCCATCACTACTCAATATGCTGGGTCATCTGCATTTCAATTACATGCTACCCCAATAGCTACCCTGAAAATAGTCAATCCAGTTGTTCATCCAGCCCTGTAGTGTACCGACTAAACGGCTTGTGCCCAGGTGGCAGAACTACCTTAGGTAAAGAACTTGATGCAAATAAATGAAATACAGCTTTTTAAAACTAACAGTGTGAACTCCATCTTGGAAATAGGCCCACGACTACCTCAGTCATCAAAGCAATTCTGATTGTATCAAAAGCAATCAAAGACAGATGCAGACAACAGGAATTTCTAAACATCCCCTTTCATTTCCAGGAAGAATCCTGACCCCTTGCCCCACTATGGACAAAACAACTTTGATTAGAAAGCACAGAAGGTGGGTCTTACGGAGGTGGCAGTAACAGTAAAGCTATGTACAAGGACAAGGGCCATCTTATGGGTGTGGAGGAAGTGCACATGGGACTCATCTAATGGAGAAGGTTCAGCAACAGGCACCTGGTAGAATCAGGTGTTCTCCCATGTTAATTCTCTACACCCCAGTCTATAGCTCCTACAGTGTTCTACTGGGAAACCAGGGAGCTATAGGCTTCAATTCCATTTTCCTGAACACAGCCAAGGTGGCTGTACCTACAGGCCAAGGTGGCGCAGGCTGAAAGAGAATGGAGAAGTGGAGTTCTTTTCCTCCTGAACCCTTCTGACCTCTAACACTTTCTACAGGGTGAAACAAGATCATCCTAAGGATCACAAGGCCAAGTACACGTGGGAACCACTGTTTAGAGGGCCACCTCACCAGTTCTCATACAAACATTCAGCTACCTGTGTCATTCAAAGTTCAAGACCACGCATCCCTTCCACTTGTGACTGGGGTAGCTATTCCCATTTAAGAACAGGCAGAGAACCAACTTCCCCTCTTTGCAGCCTACTGCTCCTCCACAAGCTGGGCCAACTCAGTGCTGCACCCCACTGTCTACAAGGAAGGGCAAAGAAAGGCTGGAAATTCAGAGGGAAATTGAGAGAAAGAACAGAGGCCAGGGTTAGAACACATCTAGAACTATCCAGCCACCCTGATGATCTAATTTTCTCTGGGCACACTACCTCAAATAGGTTTGAGGCTCCAGGCACAATGCATCCCTTCCATTTCCTGTCTCTTTATCCACTCAAACCCGGACTACCCTCCCTCTTCCCATGCAGGTCCAGAGACTTTAGTTGAATCACACAAATATAGCTACTGGAGGCCTCTGGTAAACCAGGGCCATTGAGGCAAGGAGACCTCCATGCTGGATACTGCTCCCTTGTATTCTCCCAGCTAGAAAAAAAATTAATTGTTCTGGTTTCTGGAAGCAAAATGGTTTGGACCCTATAGAAACTCCTGAGACTGAGTTTTCTTTCTCAACACTCCCAGAAGGCCAACCAAGACATTGACATCCATATGGGAGGAAAATTCTTGGAAATCCAAATTCATTCATCTATCCCAGAGCCAAAGAATGTCTCACCCTAGGCAATGTTTCATCCTGGACCAGGACTGTAGCCCCATCCTTTCCTAACATCACACATTTAAGGAGTGGGCCCTGCTGTGAGACCATTTGGGATGACAAGAATCCTTGATTCTCCTTAATGACAGTAAGTGAAAGAGAAAATTGCCACCATGACTAGACTAGAGAACTGGCATCATGTTGTAAGAGTGGTATGAAGAGGATCTGACACAGCACTGTTCATTTTAATTCCACAAAAATCCTTCCATTCTCATCTCTGAACTTTCCACATGGCTCATTGCGAGAGTGCACCAAACAGTGTGAACCTTGAATAGTATTTGGTCCAGGGTAGTATGAAAATAAGATCTGTGTGGACAATAGACTTCATAATATATAAACAAAAATAAATAAATAAAATAAATCCAAATAAAGAAAAAATTTCCTAGTAATTCATGTTTTTGCAAAACTAGCTTTACATATAATACACATAAATTATCAGAATTTCCACTTACATTTTTTTAAAAATATATATTTAACAAAACATTTCTAAATGTACAATATCTGGGTTTGTAAATCACTCAGTTGGGGTTTAAGACCAAGCCCTAAGAGTCACACCGATTTGCATTGGAGAGGAGACTGAAGCCGGGCCTACAGGCCTACATAGTCTCGTGCTAGCCACGTGCTTGTTGGTCTGTGAATTCCCTAAGATGATTGTCCCCGGTCCCAGATAATTTAATCAGAGAACCATGATGGTCTCATCTCCCAAGTTGGAGGCACTGTGTAGACACTGCCTGAGTCAGGAGGATAGGGGAGGTTGATCTTCCCCTTATGGACCATGGTGGTGAAGCATTTCAGCTAGTGGGGAAAAGGTAGCAATGCCTGGCAGAGCCCTAGGAAGCTGTAACCCTGGGAATCTCTATGGCCGGCTGGGATAGGGGCATGGGGAAGCCAACGGTACTGCATTTCCCACCCTTACACAAAATCAAACCAATGAGGAACAACCAAAGGACACAAGGAATGAATACAACCCTAGGTGTAAAGACACACCCTGACAAACTCTTGGCTATGGTGGACCCTGGGCTCCTATGGTAGAAACAAAGGGGCCAGCTGGAAGTCAGGTACCCTTGAGCATTGGGGCTCAGAAGCTGGGGACCTTCAGACTTCATAGATTTTGTCCTGCAGGTAGCTGAACAGGGAGTCAAGGCCTTTGGATGAGCTCCAGAGCTGCTTCAACATGAGGCATTCCTTTTCATTCACATCTTCCAACACTGACTTCAGGAAGCTTCGGACCAGACATTTGGACTCTTCTAAAACCTGGAAGGAAACACATATGTTGGGTCAGTCAGCCTGGGGCTGAGTTCTGTCTCTACAGCCTTGCAGTTTCCACAGCCAGGGAGGGGACTCATCTTAAGCCTGGGTCATCTGGTTTGTTTATTAGCACTGTCCTGAATGGATTCCAACTGGTCAAGGTGTTGAGCCCTCTAACCATGGGATGACTTTTATCCAAAAGTGGCATATAATCAGTACTATTTCTCTCTGTGTGTCTCTCTCTGTCTCTCTCCCTCCCCCCTGTATGTATGTGGTATGGTATGTATATATGTGAAGGCCTAAGATCAACAGCATCTTCTTCAACTATCCTTCATTTATTCTATGAGATAGGGTCTCTCACTGAATCTAGTACTTGCAGACTGGATATACTGGTTAGCCGGTGAGCTCATGCCTCTGCCTCTGCCTGTCTTTGCATCCTCAGACTGATGCATATATATATGATATATATATCATATACATACAGTACATATACATATACTTTCTGGAATATCAATCACAGGCATCCATGCTTGCACAGCAAGCACTTTACCCAAGATGCTGTGTCCATAGCCTCTTCATGCTATTTTTCTGAGTCTCAAGACAAAGTTGGCAAAACATTGTTCTGAACTCATCCCATGCCATGAATAGAGTTATTTGTATTGAACACCCAATCCAAGTGTCACTGTAAATAACCTCAGTCATTAGTTCAAAGAGAATCTGCATAAAATCAATAAGACACATGATCACATACCAATATGGAGACATTCATTACCGACTGAGGGCACACATACACACAGTAGGTGTCCAGTAAAGAGCTGACAAGAAGATACTGAGTGGATACCCATGCCAACAGAATCTGGACATGTAGGTGGGATACTTATGGAGGGAGAAGACATGTAATGCAGGGGTGTGGCCCACAGACTCAGCCCAGCACTCTGTTTCTTAAGGTCAAGAGTGTAGGACCTTATACTTCAATGTCATGTCTCACTCGGGAACTGGCCCTGAGGTTCAAGTCCCCTCTTAAGCTCAGAGCCTCTGTCATGAAATAAAAATCAACATTTAATTAAAACATGGCACCTCCATGGAGGAGAGGTTGATCCCTTCTTACTGCATCTCTGGAGTCAAAGAGTGATGTTTAGCATTCTTGTGTCAAGTACAAGGCTGGACAGAAGAAATAAAACACCATGACAGCGTTCTCTGGTCTCTCACCCTGGGCTGGTTTCATTCTTTGACCTGTCCTACCCTGAGCCCTCTCTTTCTTTGGAAGATTTAGCTTGGTGCTTCTGTGAGTACTTGGAGCTTTCTGTTAACCCAATGCTTGCTGCTCAATTATAAAGCTTCCCCATGAGCCTCTTCAATTGGATATGGATGAGAATATGCAATATCCCAGGCATCTTCCTCTAATAAGTTGGGCTATCAGTACCAAGAGACAGTTTATCCCACACTGCAGAAAATCTCTCACTGACTCTGCAGGTCTTCTGGGGGGGTGGCGTGGGGATGGTTCATTTGTCACATGAGCATAAGGACCTGGATTTGATACACCTGGAACCCATGTAAAATGCTAGGTATAGTGGCACACACTTAAAATCCTAGCAGTGGGGATGTGGTGACAGGAGGATTCCCTGGGGCTCACTTGCCAGACAGTTGAGCCAAACTGGCAAGCTTTGGGTTTTGCGAGGGATCTTGTCTCAAAAACTAAGGTAGAGATGCCTCAGGAAGAGAGACCGAGTTGGCATCAGGACTCCACCCTCTGTGCACACACACAACATAGTCAGTTCATGAGGACAGGACATGAACAACATAGGGACTCACCACAGCACTGCAGGATGCCATCTCCTTCACCCGCAGCATGACCTCCTGGCTGAACGTTGTGGGCCAGAAGACCTGAGACACCAGGCCCCGGCTGCACGCCTCCTGGGCAGTGAGTTTACGCCCACAGAACAGCATTTCATTGGCCTGAAAGAACAAAGGCGAGGAAAGCTGAGGGCACAGAGCTCTGCCATGTCCCTCAGAAAGCCCTGGAACAGCTGTGCATGAGTGTCTCTGCTCTCTGAGGCAGTGTGTGTAACCTCAGGTCAGACACACTGTATGAAATACATACAAACATCTGTCACAGCTTTCATTAAATTGTCAAGAGAAGCCGATGGGTTTTCTGAAGCTCTGTGAACCTGACAGTACTCCCCTCCAGTAGATGACCCTTGGGTGGGCATGCACACCTTTGAGGCTCACTTGATAGTGTGGCCCTGTAGTGGTCCAAGAAGGATGGGGTGATCTACCTATGTGTAAGCACTTTACAACTAAGACAATGAAACAAGTTCCTCCTCTAAGAAGGAAATTAGTTCATGAGGGCAGATGCAAGGAATGGAGACAGAGAGGGATGGGAAAGAGAAAGAGCTGGAATAAGGGCAAGTAAAAAAAATCTTATACAAACCATTAAGCTTTAAAAAAGAAGCCAATTAAAAATATCTACAGCATTAGGGACCCAAAGGTAAAGAAGCATCATCTGCTGACTTGGGCACAGGTACTATGCAGTTAAGATGGATGGAACACACCCTTCTTGGCTGGGCTGCACCCCACTCCTCAAAGGATTTCCCTCTACTTTGAGATTGGTGGCTGTCATACACAGTGCTACAGGGGCTTAAGTGTTCCCCAAAGCTCAGGATGCTCAAGGATTGGTCCTTGGCTTGATTTGAGGGAAGTGGTGAACCTTCAAGGAATGCGGTACTTGGCAGATGGCTTAGGTCACTGGAAGCAAAGTGTACACTTGAAGGGAACTACAGGACCATGGTGTGTCTCTCTCACTCTCCTTCACCAGGCCAGAACAAAGGGAACCATGCAAAACTCCGCTGAGAACACATGGCCTTCAGCCCACTTTTACAGTCACAGAAAAGACTAAGGGTGGGAAGGCAGAGACGAGGCCAGACAGTTTAACCATGGCCTCATGTTTATGGCCACAAAAATGAGGAGGAACTGACTGGAGAGAAACTGACATGAGTGGGAGCATGTGGCTGACATCGCTGGGACAGTGTCCACCTCCCAGCTCTGTGCCACCCGAGACATCATGCAGTGCTTGGGTCCAAGATGGCTTCTAGGTCCTACCTGCTGGCCTACAAAATCAAATACCTAAACGAGGACAGGCTTATAAATAGGACCTAACTGGGAACAAAATCTTCTGTGTCCTTAAAGGAAGCCAGGGGAATGTGGTGTCTGGCTGTGAACATGGATGCACAATTGCCTGAACCTACACCATGGTAGATGTGAGGCATGTAGGCCTCAGAATACATGGGGGTCTCCAGTTACCTCCAACAGTTTTCTTCCAGGGCCAACTTTGAAAAGAAATATATAGATGTTACCTAGAAGCCCAAGGCAGCTGGAAAAGCCAGGGAACCACTGATGAGACCAGTAAGAACAAACGACACACTGCGCTAGAGCTATGAAAATGTCAACATAATGTCTGGTCCCTACTCAGACTCTGGGCAAGCCACTTAACCTCACCGGCTGTCCTCCATCCCAGAGGCATTCAATAGCTTAGGGCTCTGGGCTCCCAGCTACGGCTGGACTAATGGATTTGGGGCTGGAACAGCACCTGGGATGTAGTGCAGAGGCGATGAAGGAACTGTTTTTATTACTGCTGGTGTGATGGATTTGGAAAAGAGCAAAGAAGAACATGAATGAAGCACAGCCTGTGAGTCAGGCTCTTACTGTGGTGACCCAGGCAGGCTTTCAAGGAGACGGAGGCAGGCCGAGACTCCTCCACACTATGGAACTGATGGCAGATGGGACACAGAAAGAGAAAAAATGGAAGAAATGGAGACAGTGTAAAGTTCTTTGCTCTGCCTTCTGCCCAGAGATTCCAGAGCACCTGGGGTTGGGAGCAACCAGAGTTCTCTAGTGTGCAGACTGCCTTGGGACAACTGGGGTTTGCTTAAAGGTGGCTGTTTAATAAACATATTCAACCCGTACCCTGGAGTCTGTTTGCAAACTGAAATAGTTAGTAAGAGACCCAAGTGATAGAGCCAGCTTCGCCCCCCCCCGGCCCCCCCCCCCCCGGGGCCCCCCCCCCCTCCTCCCTCCCCACCACGCCCTGATTTTTATTTGGTGCCTGGGATTATTTATATGGGTTCTGGGAGTTGAATTCAGGTCCTCATGTTGTGTGGCAAGTCCTTGACCAACAGAGCAAATCTCACAGCCCATTGCATCACTTTTGATAGCTCCCTTACCCATCAGAGCCTTGGTCTGCCAAACATTCACTGGTAATAACAACTGTCCCCCTCATGGGACTGTGTATGGCTCAGTGAATGGTCTTGTTGCCACTACTACGTGTCCTGCCTAGACTTGTCCTGCTACCACCTGTAGTGGACTCCATGGCTTCCCTGGACCAGCACTGCCAGCTGCACAACCTGGTCATGTGACAATCCCTTCGCTTCTCTGATGTCACTGTTTGTTCCACCTACATTTTGGAAGTATTCACATTTTCACAGGGGCGGAGACAGCTTTGTCTTCATTCAAAGTCTTTCACTATTTGTGCATGGCTGAACTGCACTTCCTGCCTCCCTTACAAGGGGGAGTGGCCACATGATGGAGTCCAGCCAGTGATGTGTGAATGAGGTGAAGACTCTCTAGGGTGATTCCTGAGTGCCCCCCACCACCCATCACTAGAAAGGGTGATAGAGCTGATGGACAGATGCTATCTGATCAGTGAGGTCAGTTCTTGCACATTTGCTGAACTTCTCTAGAGGGAGAGGGCAGCTGTTATGCAGACTCTAAGAACTGTGGCTGTTGGCTACAGTGCTCAACTCTCCCAAAGACATAGCATTACCAGAGCAGAGTGAGGAAGAAAGGGGGCACTGTGTGCATGGTGCCTGGCACACAGTAGGTAAATAATAAGTAGGCATCATCATTGTCATCTCATCTCAGTTACTCCATCAGACACACCAATACTATGAAGACCTATTGGTATGGCTTGAGGTCAGCCTGGCTTCAGTTTTTTTTTTTTTTTTTTTTTTTTTGCCAGATCAGACTCCTCAGGCCTAATAGATTCCTGGGTTTCACCCATAGGCCAATGTTATATTCTAAGCCCAGGAAAAGGGTCCTGCCAAGACCCAGGCACATGCATGTCAGATGAGGATGTATGTAGGAAACAGGAGGCTTACCAGTGCCACACCCAGGATCTGGGGGAAGGTGTAGGAGGAACAGCCAGCAGGTGTGAGGCGGATAGTAGCATATGGTGTCTGAAACCAGGCTTTTTCACTGGCCCATACAATGTCACAGAGGGGTAGAATGGATGCTCCCAGGCCCAGTGCTGGCCCATTGATGGCTACCACAATGGGCTTCTTAAACTGGATAAAGGCCTTCACGAAGTCTCTGGAAAAAGAAAAGAGCCTCTTTAACTCACGGTTTGCATTTGCTGGCCTCTGGATACCCCTGATTCTCTTTGGGTGCTGTGGTACAAATCCTGGACATCGGAAGCAAGTGGAGGCCAGCCAGCAGCCCCATAGCCTACATGCAGAACCACGGGGATGCCAGATTCTAAGAAGAGAAGAATGGTGGCTAAGTACCCTCGTGTCCTAGTCTCTGCCTGATGTGCTCTCAATTCTCTTCACCTCCCCTCTACTCTCAAAAACCATGGCCCGGGCAGTAAATTCTATGAGCACCCTAAATATTGACAAGGTTGTATACTTAAGGGAAGATAAGAAGAATGTCACAGTTCTGAGCAAGAGCCCAAAGGGGGTGTCCTTCAGAAGTATCCCTCAAGGGCAATTCCTTCTCAAAGGGAGAGCAAATGTTCTAACATCACCGACCAAGATGTGATGGGTTATGGGGAATAATTTCACTAGAGGAATTCTGTTTTTAGCTTGATGATCACTTTGAGCGATGCTAAAGATGGAATTCAAGCTTCAGATGATGGACACCTAAATTTTCTTTCAATTTTGGGATGGTCAAGTTCTGAATTACCTGCAGGTATGCCACAGTCATCAAGGTTGGTTCTATGGTGCTTATGAGAGTCTAGTGTTAGGACGACCTTAACTAAAACTGGGGTAGAATGCTGGGCTCCCTATCAGGAAGCCTCTAGAGTCAAAGTTAAAGAATAGAGTTATGTTTACACTACCTGACATAATGAATGGGTCAAGGTTATAGTATTTTTCTTTTCCTATCAAACAAGGCCACCAGAAATGACTTCTTGTGTGTGTGTGTGTGTGTGTGTGTGTGATGTGGTTTGTGTGTGTGTGTGTGTGTTTGTGTGTGAGTGTGCTGGTGCCAATGGAGGCCATATGAGGGCAGCTCTAGTTAAATGGTCATGACCTGCATCACATGGGGATAGGGAACTGAACTCAGATGTGAGGGAGTTGAAAGCACTCCTTGCTGAACCATCTCTCAGGCCCCAGAAATGATTTATTTTGCCTTTGAATGCTCTTCACTTTTCTTCTACTTGCTAGAAAACATCTAAAATGTGGGGACCAGACCAGCGGGAAAACATACTCATCACAAAATGGCACCCCAATGTGGCTACTGAGAACTTTCACTTAAAACTTAACAAAAGCTTAAAAAAGGGTTTTAGAAACAAAAGAACAGAGACAAGCAAGGCTTCTTAGTAACAGCATTTTTCTCAGTTGGGCTCTGTTTTGCTAGATAGAAGCAAAGATTTGTATGGCTCCTTTAAGGGAGGTTTCCTGACTCAGCATAAGTGGCAAAAAAAACTGCATGGTTTTTTAAAAGCACTGCTAACAATTCAATGGTGTGTATGAGAAGCTAGAGAGAGTAGCTGGGTATGACAGCACATGCCTTTAATTCCAGCACTCGGGAGGCAGAGGCAAGCGGATCTCTGTGATTTCAAAGTGAATCTGGTGTACAGAATGAATTCCAAGGCAGCCAAAGTTACACAGAAAAACCCTGTCTCAATAAAAAAAAGTAAAAATAGAAAAAATAAAATAATAAAAAAGCCACATAAAGATAAAAAGCACAGAGAAAGTCTGGATACTATATGGTATTTTATTGCCTTTAAATTGTTTCACTGCTGAGAAAATAGCAACAATTGTTAAAAGAAACGCTGCTGGATTAATCCAATTTATATATTTTAAAAATGCTTTGACTTCAAAATTTAAGTCTAAGGACAGGTTACTGGGGAAAAATTATTTTTATTTTTGTTTCTACAGAAAATGAAAAGCTATGGATTCCTTTCCAGACCAGTGTGGTTTGAACAAGCCAGACCTCCTGAAACAGCATCCCAGGTGATCCAACATTCAAAACAGCTGGGACAAAGCAGCCTTGCAGACCACTACAGCCAGGATTTCTCCATCTTTAGGATCCCCAAGACAGTGCCCCCTACCATCAGGAAGTAGTTTGGAAAGAACGACATCCAAATTCCCAAATATTGTCTATAAATGTTTGTTTTCACTTAAATGGAGTTGGTTATAAATGGTTAATGACCACAACAAATCTCTTTAAAGGTAAAAAGGGGATTGTGATATAGATATAAATACTTTGTTTTGGAATGGATTTTCATTTATTGATGCAAATTTAAGGTCAATTTTGTGATATGTATACTCCTCTTGTTTAGGTATTGTATTTATATAGCTCATTTGGAAATATAATGTAAAATTTAGTACAGATTATAGATAATTACCTATGATAGTCAAAACATAGAGTTAAGTAAGGTTTTCAAGATATACAGAGATGTATTTGAGATGGATAGGCATTCTTCAAACCTTTCAAAGACCTACAGAATATGGTATTTAAAAATGGTTTAGGGTTTTTCTTGATAGTGAGACATAACTGTTCCTGGCAATGCCACATACATCAGAAAGGAAGATGGATATTGAAGAAACATGTTATGAAGTTTGGTTTCAATATGGCAAGACTAGCCATTTGGACAAGATACTGCTCTTGTCTGGACTGTTTCACTTTATGCTGTATAGACTGGACATGCAGGACCCACAGGAAAGTGACTGCTGATACAAGATGGACATTGCTACAGAGTTCCTGCTTCATGGAAGAGTCTGCCAGATAGTCTGCAGGATACAGAGAAAAATGACTGACAAACTGCCAATACAGGTGGACTGCTGAGGAGTCTGCCAGACTATAGGCTGAAGATGGAACTTTACAGAAAAACTTCGGGTGACTGACCAGGTAGTGAGATGTCTCTGTCATTTCTAGAGTTTATGTATTATCTTTCTGTGGTCTTTGATGGAGTTGAATATAAATTGTTATGGTTATAGTGTTCCTTAGTATTAAAGATAAGTTACATATACAACTTTAGTCTCACAAAGATAGGATAGATGATGGAATATTTTCTTAAATCTTGCTAAATGCTAATGGACTAAATATTGTTAACTGTGGTTCTTATTTGATAACTGTTTTGTTATATATTTTGCTATATTAAGGTTAAAACCCTTCCTTTTATTTTAAACAGAAAAGAGGAGATGATGGGAGATATCATTCTGTAAATATGTTTCTCATACTGGTTAATGAATAAAGCACTGTTGGCCAATAGGAAAGCAAGATAGGCTGGACCAGGAGAAGGAGGAGAGAGGAAGAAGCAGAGAAGAGATTGAACATGAAGGATGGAGAGAGCAGAATTCCGGACCCTCTCTCCGGGAAGCCAAGACCATGTGGAAACATTTTGCTTAATAGAAATGGGTTAGTACTTAAGGCAGAACTAGCCAATAAGAAATGCTAGTAACAGGCCAACAGCATTATATCTAATACAGTGTCTCAGTGTGTTATTTAGGTCTGATGCCACTGTGGGACCAGATGGGTGGGAAAACATACTCATAACATATAAAAGTTAAAGTCCATGTGGGTATGGAGGGAAGTTATAAGATGTGGAGTTAAGGTGGCATTCATCATTCTTAAATCGAAGATTGGGGACTACCAAACTTTACAAGAACAGACCTTGGTCTGCCCTAGCTTACCTCTCTTGGCTTCTCTCTTGCCATTCTTGACTCTGCCTACTGTGTATGTCCACAGGCCACCATTATAATTCACAATTATCCCACTGATAGTTTACTTGCTTTTTTGAATCCTTCTACTGCTTTAGGCCCCAAGGACACTCACAGACCTGCCTGAGGTACTGCCTAGCTTCTATCAGTGTTGAGATTAGAAACCGTGAACAGCCACTGAAGAAATATACTGTCTCCCAGAAGGCACAAAAAGACTACCTCTGTTCTCTTCCTGATCTAATAACAGACCTCATTTCTCAGTCTTCTTTGTAGCTGGCTGTGCCCACATCACCAAGGGCTGACCATGAGTATAGAGTGCATTTACCTCTTCTGAGGGAATACAGCTCCCACCATGAAAATCTCCATGCCCAGCCATCTAGGCAAACATGATAGATGAGGACACCAGTGGAGCCACAGCACTGAAGGGTCTGGACATACTATTTGGAGAACAGTAATAGAATGGGTATTAAAGTTATTTTCTTTTCTATGTACAAGAAGCCTATTTCTGCTTCTGCTGAGTCATTATGTAATGGGAGTCTATTTGTTATACCAGCTAATGTTCAACTAATACATCCATGGTGCTGAGTCAATATCTTCTGTTGACAATAATTCCCTTCCTAACACTTATCAAAATATATGAGTGCAACAGCAATAAGTTGGAACCAATTTCTACTGTAAGAAAGATTGTTTTATATTCTGCTAATGTGGGGCTATCATAATATCTATGTAAGTCATTAGGGAGTTCTCAGATTTGACCCAAAATGGCATATCACATTATCTGTCATGAGAAACCTGCTGTGGTCACTCTTAGCACTGCCTCAAAGAGAAAGATCCCAGTACTACCACCTTCTGATGATTAGGTTTGCAGGGACCATGCTCCTGGGTCCCATCCTATCCTAATGGTTAGGATTTAGGTCAGATTACCAGCTTATTTCTGCTCATGTAACCTGAGTCTATTAGGGATATGGGACTTTCATGGACAGTCTAGGGAAGCCAAAGGAAGTGTAATTTTTATTAGACATCTAAAATCTAGGATCTGAGACATGGGAAGACTTCCAGACTCCTCAAGCCACACTTTCCTCAGTACAGACTCCCTCTGAGGATACTGAGGACATCAGCACAGCTCTCCTGATACACTGCCATACATTTGTTAAGATTCTCTCAGCTATATAAAGTCCATGACTATATTAAATTAGTCTCCATGCTCAAGGCCTTAGGTAGGCATTGTCAATGCTCTCATACCTCACATGATTACAGTTCAGGAACCTACTGAAATCCTCACCCCTTCCAGTGGTTTCCATTTCAGGACCCAGATACTTTTGCTCTGTGCAAGGCTAGTAGGGGCCTTGGAGAAAGTGATGGATTTGAATCCCACACAGCCCTGCCCTTCCACCCCCATCTGCTCCATTTTCATTCCCCTGATGT